ATGAACAGTTCTGATTGTCCCACATTATTTTATGAAGTAAACTGTTCTTAGATAAACAATGTAACTGTTGTTTGTTTTGCTAGATAAACAAGAATTAATTATTGCACATTTAATATTAATTCTATAAAAGTATAAAAAGACTAATGCACTTTTGATTCCAAAAATATAATATTTCTGATTTATGAAATATATCTACAATGTTATGTTATTTATAAAACAAATGTCAATACGGTAATTTTAATTACATTCTCTCTATAAAGTTTTTAAATAAATTTAGAAATAATGCATGCAATTTAAAAAAAAAAGTATAAACTCATTTACATTCCACACTCTACACGAACTTGTTGATGAAGAGATGTTTCCACTAGTCTTTACAATGTTACTTGGGAAGTCAAAGAACATTAATACGACATTCTCTGCATCTGAAGACTGCTAACACCCAACGTCAGATTCACCTGAACCTAACAACTTTCTTGATTGACAACGAAGTTGCTGTCTAGAATTTTGCCAGATCAGCTTTTCTAAGAATCACTATTAAAGGTTGTTTTTCCAATATTCCCATAAAAGATAAGAAGATGTGGTATGATTGCCAATGAGACAACTCTCTTTAGGAGACAAAATGACACATAAATTAACAACTATAGGTCACCATACAGCCTTCAACAAAGAGCAAAGCCCATACCGCATAATCAGCTGTAAGGATGTTCGCTACTCTGTTTCAAAATAACAAGCTTTTTAAAAGACTGTTATAAATTGATAGTATATAAATAAAGGAACTAAACAAGCAGAAAAAAAATGAAGGGTCCGTTTGCTTGTTTTCGAGATATAAGCCATTGAAAATTTGGCGGGAAATAATTCTCTCTAGAGTTTTCATAAACTTTACATTGGCAACCTTCTTCTTTCAAAAATTATGAAAAAATAACAAGGATTTTCATAGGATTTTCAAAAATGGCTTTAAAAACTATGTGTAATAAGATTATGAAAAGAAAAAAAGGGGTTAGTGGGGAAATTTTTTAATGGCACTACAAGGATAAAACCAGAGGATTCCGAATATCTGGCAAAAATTCAAAAACTAGAGGAGCGAACATATTACAACGAGAAAAACTGACGACCTAATTTATGTACAAAATAATGGACGAAAAACAAATATGTTACACAGCAACAAACGACCACTGAAGTACAGGCTCCTGACTTGGGACAGGCACATACACTGATACAGAATGTGGCGGGGTTAAAAAAGAGGGACGAAAGATATCAGAGGGACAGTCAAACTCATAGATCGAAAACAAACTGACAACGCCATGGCTTAACTTGACTTAATTGAAGGCGCCAACTCTGCCACTAACATAAAACAGTGTTTTAACAGTACAACATAAGAATAAACTATAAAATTCAGTTGACAACGGCTTATCTCATCAGATGGGTACACACAGAAATACATCAAACAAAAACACAGAGTGGACGTGGACGGCTACTTATGCATCCACACAACAAAGACATTAAGTACAGATCTGGGAGTACTCGCAGTTACTGACAGCTAGTTCAAAGCCAATAAAAACTTATTTTAAAAATTTTGCATCTAAGACTAAAATTTCATATTTTATTCCATGTTTGATGATACACACTAGGTAAATAATGTCATTTATTCAAGTTTTTTTTCTTCATATTTTATAAGTTACATTGATTAGTAACCTGTAATTAACTGCTACACACAATAAAAACAACTTAATCTCTATCAAAACAATTCCCAATTGTCCAACAATTAAACTTCCCAATTGTCCCACAAACATATTCCCGATTGTCCCACAAAATTTCATTACATTTTTACCTGTAATTTCAAAAAGTGGGACATTAGGGAAGACACCAAAAAAAGCATTGCCTTTGGCATTTTAATTAAAGGACAAATTTGTACTTAATAATAAGTTAAGTGAACGGAATAACCTGAGGCTAAGATTATAATTGATTGTTAGATCAACTTTTTAAAAATTGTATGTAAATTATAAATTGGTATTGTTTTTAATTTTTATATATTTTATGTAAACATGTGAAAAAATTAATGAATTAAATTCAAATAAAGATTATTATACATGCTATAATGATTAATAAAATACTTTGATGAATGTTAAATATTTTTTCATCATGATAAATGTTTAAAAAGTATTAAGAAAAATGAAAGTACTAAGTGAATAACTAAATGAAGGAAAAAATATTTATTGCATCAGAAAAGCCAAATTTTAAAAAATTTCCATGTAATTCAAAGTTATTGAAAAGAAATTCATAATTACATGGCAAAAAGGCAATGTTATTCATTTTTTTCAATTACATGTAATTGAAAATATGCTCAATTACACATTATACATTTTATTTGATGTACTAGTATTGGTTTGATTCCATTATAGCTATTATTATGCATTCATTTCTTACGTACTTTTAGATGAATTTTAGGCTAATAAATCTTGTAATATTTTCATAAATTCGAGGTAAAAACTGTCTACAAAAAAGTAAACCTGAGATCAATTTTAGAATTGTGAATTGCTACACAGCTATGTTCTAAATGCGTGTGGATCTGAGCAATCATGGTGGAAGAAAATCATGAAATGTCCACCAAAAGTAATTAAAGGATACTTTTCAATTTGATTTACATACTACATTGCTTTAAATTCAAAAGTATGTGTTCCAAAAAGAAACATATCCCAAATTATTATTATCATGATTATTAAGTGCAACGTTCCGGTCACATACCTTTTTCAAGGATTGCCACCAACAGAACTTGCATTCTTGTTCATTCATTTTTGTTGCTTATCTAGTGACAGTAACGTTATAGAAGATTATCAGACATTTATAAAAAAAGATCTTTTCATTTTTAGACTCAATTTCAATTCCTTGATTTGACCAGACTGAGGATCGATCCAACAAACTTCCGAACTCGACGCGAGCAATTTACCACGACACCACCGAGGCGGTATAATTTAGTGAGAGTAAGTTAAACATTGTCAAAATGGATGGATTAAAGTCGTTTTTTTATATATTTTCTAAACTTCAACACATTACTATATACAGTTTATAGCATAATGAAGTTGTACTTTTTCATATATTTCATCAGAGGATTTTGTCCCTTAATAGATCTCGTCCTTTCTTTAAAAAAAAATTCTGAAAAAGTTCATCGGAAGATACCAAGACCTTGTTGATGAATATTCAGTATCAACTTTACAAATAATGCACGATGCTCTTGAAATATATATTCTATGTACTGACGTTATTTACCATCTTACTTACATCTTAAAGTGTTCTTTTTGTGTGTCCTTTTATATTTTAACCTTTACTGTTTAGTCCATTTTTGGTAATATCCCTTTGGTTTGACTCGGCATTTATACATCCTGCCATTGTGTTATTGGTGCTATGGTTATTTTTTGTATTCTTGACTTTCATTTTTGCCCATGTGATTTGTATATAGAGTATCTACATGCCAAATTGTTTTTCTTTGATAATGAATAAGCTAATAACATGTTTCTTTAATAAAATAGTTTTTTGTTTTATAGTGATTAAGATTAAAAAAAACAATGTTGACGTTTGTACCCCAATTGTTGACATTTTTACCTATTTTGTCTGTTTGTTTTGCTCACAAATTGTTATCAATATCATGGAATTTTACGCGACTGTAAGACAAGTGAGAGTTTTAGCTAGCTATGAAATCGGGGTTAATTCACCATTTTCTACATAAAGAAATGCCTGTACCAAGTCAGGAATATGACAGTTGTTTTCAATTCGTTTGATGTGTTTGAGCTTTTGATTTTGCCATTTCTTGGAGTTCGGTATTTTTGTTATTTAATTTTTATTGTATACGTATAGTCTATGTCAATTATTTGCTTACTTCACGAGAATTTTTTATTAGAAAAATGGGCAAAAGAAAATTATATTTAAAAAAAAAAAGAAACAAGTCAATCAAATCACCTTTATACAAGACAATTTTGAACTTTGCATTTATTTGCTTCGTGTTAATAGTGTATCAAAATTGAAAAAGCTTGATGTTATTCAATTCTCTTATACAAATTCTGACACGGTATATTAACTCGTCATAGATAACCAGGATTAAAATTGTATACGCCAGACGTGCTGTTGTCTACAAAATACAAAATACAAATGACGCTCGAATTAAATGATTTAAAAATGCCAAATAAGTACAAAGATGAAGAGCATTGAAAACTCAACATTTCAAAAGGTTTTGAGAAAAAACAGTTACGTCTCATCCTTTTTCTAAAAGAGTTCATCGAAAGATACCAAGACCTTGTTGATAAATATTCCGTATCAACTTCACAAATAATACACTATGGTCTTGAAGTATAGATTCTAGGTACTGACGTTGTTTATCATCATAATAGCGTGTTATAATATTCTTTTATTTGTCTTTGTAAATATTAATTTTACTGTTGAATCTATTTTGGTAATATCCATTTGACGTGGCTCGGTACTTATACATCACGTCATTGTGTTATTGTTGTATGTTAAATTTTTGTATTCTTGTCCTTCATGTCGCTTATGTGCTTGAAAATGGAAATTGTGAATGTGTCAAAGAGACAACAACCCGACCAAAGAGCAGAAAACAGCCGAAGGCCACCAATGGGTCTTTCTGTTTGTTTTGTTCACACATCGTTGTCAATATAAAGGAATTTTATGTGACTGTCATACAAGTGAGAGGTTTAGCTAGCTATAAGACCAGGTTTAATCCACCATTTTCTACATAAAAAAAAAAATGCCTGTACCAAGTCAGGAATCTGACAGTTGTTATCCATTCGTCTGATATATTTGAGCTTTTGATTTTGCCATTTGATTAAGGACTGTCCGTTTGAATTTTTCTCGGAGTTTGTTTGTTTTTTTTTTTTTTTTTTTTAAACTTTTTTCTACTAAGTATTCCTTGGGTAAATGTCTTGTCTTTCGAAGAATTGAAAGTTTTGTAAACGGTAAAGTTTATATAGTATATAATGAAATAAAACATCCTCAAACTTGTTGCTAAATTGAAAAAAAAGGATTTACTTTTAAAATTGACGATCTTTTCTTTTGATATTGATGACAAAAAGTTTTTCTATATCACTGTCTCCGGAGACTATATCTTTCGATTTTAATCCATTTTCGATAATTTTGTGGCTGTTTGTGTTAGCAACATTAACGCAAAGCTATTATGATTATACGGTCATTAATTTTTTCTCCCTTTTTATTAGAGAATACTATACTGTCATTCGTGCTGTATAGTAGATTTTGCCTCAGAATACAGCTATATGAGTAAACACAGTCACATATTAACACGAAAGTCATAATTTAAAGAATTGATTTAGATGTAACTTTAACATATTTCATGAGGTCATAGTTGCAAATCCCCTAGCATTCGCCGTCTATATTAGACGCTATCATGTTCCGTTTTTCATCATTCACGATAACATCAAGTTGCCGACTCAAGAGAGTCATTATTTCGCTTGCAAACTTGAATGCATTGTTAAATGGAAAAGGGTTAGTTTACCAATAAACATGCAATTTGTAAAACCACAGTGAATGTATGATTTGTAAAACAACAAGGTTGATCCAAGTTTGCTTCACCATCTATATTAAAACGTGATACGATTACTCAGCGAAAGCAACTACACACAATATTAAAATAATAAAATAGGTTAACGCGATTATGCTAAGTCGAACAAGCCCGAGGCAATCAGGCAGTTTGCAAAACTGATCTGTAGACGGACTTGATTGTTGACGAACGGATCCCGATTCTTGCCCAACTAACATAAAATCATCTTTTGCAATGACTGGCATCTGGCTGTGCGCACTGATTCTTTTTGGCATTTTTAATCTTTGCTTGATGGCTGGTTGGATTTGATTAAAAACCACATCCTGATTTTGGGAAGAATGAACTTGAGCTTCTTCCCCTTTTGGTTTTAGTTGTAAATGATCAGGGGATAGCAAAATTGATACTTTTCCTAACGTTGTTGACTCTAAATTAAACGAGAGCTCTACATTCATTTTTTTCTCACGAAGGTTATCTGCAGATTTCAAATTATTTATGTACTTTTCTTCTTCTATTGCAACCTTTTCAACTTCATGTACACCAAAATAGGCTTGCAGATCTGTTGAAAACTCGACCATTTTAGAAAAATCTTTTCGTTTTCGTTCAATCTGGTCAATTTTGATGTCGATTTCACACTTCAATTTCTGAATAGTGTCTTGCGTTATTGTGAATGATGAGCTAATATCTATTAATAAATATTTTTCCAGTTTGTTTAAACGTTCATCTATTGATTGTCTCATATTTTGAACGCTGATTATAGCTTCTATTTTCTCCTTTTCCAATGCACTGAGGTTTTCCGAAAAAAAGTTTCCAATAGTTACTAAATTTTCAAACAGATTATGAAGATCTGTTTCAACTTTGGACACGTATGCAGAGGACTTAATATTTCCCACAACTTCATCAAGTGACACAAGATTCTTACAGTTGTTATGATGATCTTTTATACACTTCATACAACAAGCTGTGTTATGGAAGGTGCAAACCAGCTCAAACTTTTGGTCGTGGTCCTCACAATTGTTCGTTATGTTTAGCATGAACTCAGGTAAATTTTGGTAATCATGAAGAGACATGACTTGGTGATGCTTTGACGTCTTGGATCTACCATGATGTTTCTGACATTCAAGGCATAAAAACACCTCACATTCTGCACACCACGTGACTGCTGTACAAGTTTCATCGTCCTCTTGACACAAGCTACAGTAGTAATTTGCACACGTCGACATGGTACACCATCAACTAGAAAAAAGTTGCAGTTGCATAAGTATAGACATATCTCTTTACAATGAAATTTATTAAGCCCTTCCTCTACTGTCATGGTATATTGCTTTTGAAACAATTTTTGAAATTATTTAGAATTAAGGCATGTATCTCCCTGATGCAAAGCTCTAATTACTTGCCCGGCTTTGGCTTTACTTTTTTGGTACTTTTTGGTTAATAGCTCTTCATTTTTTTATATGCTTTGGTTTGTTAAATATTTTGGCCTCGGGCGTCACTGAAGAGACATTGATTTTCGAAATGCGCATCTGGTGCCGAAAATTTGGTACCGTCTATGATGTTACCAAAGTAAATAAACTATTTATTCTTTACCATGATCGCATGAAAATTATATGTGTTACTTTTCTGTAGTAAATTCATTTACTGGAGATCGGAAATAAATTTTAAAGGATTATTTATCGAGCAACTAGTTTGTCAGTTAGCGTTTCACCATTTTTGTGTTAAAAGAAGTATGGTGTAAAATGATAGAAACGCCAGATGCGGTTCCAGGATCTTGAAAAGGATGGGGGAGCGATGAAAACTATACAATGTTTGAAGTGGGACATGTAAAAAGTCTATGCATTAACAAAATATGTAGCTCCTTGAGGGTTAAATGTCATCCCCTAAATCCGCCTCTGAATCGATATGCGTCGTTCATTCGCGTTTTGCGGACACACTATTCTAATCTTTGACTTTTGTGTAATTGACCATGATGCTTCATTTGAATTGTGCACTTTTCAAAAATTGGAAACATAATTCCTGGTGAAGTTCGTTTACCCTGGGGCCATCATACTAACGGGATTAGAATCTCGTAGGTTTTTGTCGAGCCTGCGGCTTTTGTCGCAGAAAGCTCGACATAGGGATAGTGATCCGGCGGCGTTAGCTAACTTCTTAAAAGCTTTATATTTTAGAAGGTGGAAGACCTGGATGCTTCATACTTTGTATATAGATGCCTCATGTTACGAACTTTCCGTCAGTCACATGTCCAATGTCCTTGACCTCATTTTCATGGTTCAGCGACTACTTGAAAAAAAAGTTCAGATTTTTTGGAATGTTAAATTCTCTCTTATTATAAGTAATAGGATAACTATATTTGGTATGTGCGTACCTTGCAAGGTCCTCATGCCCGTCAGATAGTTTTCACTTGACCTCGACCTCATTTCATGGATCAGTGAACAAGGTTAAGTTTTCGTGGTCAAGTCCATATCTGAGATACTATAAGCAATAGGTTACTATATTTGGTGTATGTAATGATAGTAAGGGGTACATGTCCAACTGGCAGGTGTCATCTGACCTTGACCTCATTTTCATGGTTCAGTGGTCATAGTTTAGTTTTTGTGTTTTGGTCTGTTTTTCTTATACTGTATGCAATTGGTCAACTGTATTTGGTGTATGGAAATATTGTACGATGTTCATGTCAGTCTGGCAAGTTTTATTTGACCTTGACCTCATTTTCACGGTTCATTGCTCAATGTTAAGTTTTTGTGTTTTGGTTTGTTTTTCTAATACTGTATGCAGTAGGTCAACTATATTTGGTGTATGGAAATATTTTACGATGTACATGTCAGTCTGGCATGTTTTATTCACTACAAAAGTCTAAAAGTCTGAAAAGACCAGTTTTTTTCTTAATTTGCATGAACTTTTACTCGACATTCTCCAAAAGTATGACTTGTGTCTTAATTTTTCTTGACAAATTCTCATTTATATTAAATTTGTATGAAATTTACTCGACATATTCTCGACATTCTGAATATGGTCTTAAAATTTCTTGACAAATTCTTGACATTTGAATGCTGTCTTGAAATTTCTCGACATATTCTCGACATTCTAATTTTTTCTCAGTATGGCTTGACATATTCTGAACATTTTGAATCGTGTCTTAAATTTACTTGACAGTTCTGAGTTTTACAAATCATGACCAATATTCATGATATAACTTTAATCTTTATTTCTCTTTATATGATATACTGTTGTTTCAAGTTACACTTCTTTACAACAAAAATAAAAGTTGGGCATGTAAAATAATTGAAAATTTGGGTATATAAATATTTTTACAAATGCAAATATGGCTATGAAATCTAAAGTATAAAATAATTCAAATGTGGGTGTGTTGATATAAAACAATTTCAATGTGGGTTTTTAAATAATTACAAATTTTGATTCCTAAATCTTATAAATTAAATGATTCAAACCAATCATACTGTAGACATATTTTATTCTACATTCATAATATTCAATGTTGATATGGTAAAAAATTATTATACCAAAATGTGGTTTATATAAATAGCAAATTATGATGATATACAAATCATTCATTTAACAGAAGAAAAATTTGTGTAATGTCATCTGTTTGAATATATTAAGTATTACACATGGACAGGATGTTCCCCATAAAATTAAGGTATTCCACACCCCAGAGTACACGCAACTGTCAAATAGAAGTTATTGCTTTACCTGTAATCAGCCATACAACTTATCAGTTGACCGACCATGCCACTACAATTTAAAAAGTTTGTTGATAGATGAAAATGAAAATCATCATTTTGATGAAAAAATATTGAATTGAAATGGATTTTCTTCATCAAAATTATGAAGTTAATTATTTTAACATAAAAAACAAATTGAATAATTCCCAAAGATTAAAAGAAAATTATTATCTACTCCAGGAATAATAAAAAAAATGTATTTATAATGGGTCCCATCAATGATTTCTATAGAAATCATCGGTCTTATGAAATGGTTCTCAATAATATAGATCTAAACATTTTTTTTCTTTTCAGGAAGGAGTTATCACAAATATTTATTTTTGATAAAAAATTATAAAATTCAACACTCAAATTTGAATAAAAAATGTTTTTGGGTTGTCCTAAAAAATGAATAAGGTTTTTGAATCAAGATGGGAACAAATTCTTTGACTTAAAAGAAAGCCCCCCCCCCCCCTCTTTTTTTAGCCACACAAACCCAAAAGATGAATTGTGGGGTCCAAAAGAGATACAAGACAGCTATTTTAGTAAAGCAAAAATCTAAATGCTGTTTGTCAATACCTTCGACTTATATTCCAAGTGAAAACAATTACTTAAATGTTTAATAAAAATAAATCAAAATTAAACTACATGGGGGATTATTCAGGGTATTCCAACTTAGTTGCACCAAAAGGGTATCTTACTATACCAAATTAATCCTTGATTCTTCAAAGTTTAGTTTAGCCATAATAAAAAGGAGTATATAACAGCAATAGAATGTCATAAACAGTGCAGAATAATTCTGTTCACATTTCAGGCGAAATTTATACTGCTGAGATAGTGTCAAGACATATTTAAGACTGTCAAGAATGTGTCGAGACATATTCAGACATTATTTAGAATGTCAAGAATATGTCGAGACATATTCAGACATTATTAAGAATGTCAAGAATATGTCAAGACAGATCGAGACAAATTTAAGACAGTCAAGAATTGGTCGAGACTAATCCAGACTCTTATCAGATGATACAGGAAGTGTCGAGAAATTTTAAGGCAATGTTCATACTGTCAAGACACTAGTCAAGAAAAATCAAGAACCTTATTAGACAAATTCATACTATGTCAAGAATTTTTTTAAATTATTCAGACAAATTAAGAATGTCGAGTAAAAATTCATGCAAATTCAGACAAAAACTGGTCTTTTCAGACTTTTTGACTTTTGTAGTGATTTGACCTTGACCTCATTTTCAAGGTTCATTGCTAAATGTTAAGTTTTTGTGTTTTGGTCTGTTTTCCTAATACTGTATGCTGTAGGTCAACTATATTTGGTGTATGGAAATATTTAATGATGAACATGTCAGTCTGGCAGGTTTTATTTGACCTTGACCTCATTTTCATGGTTCATTGCTTATGTTACGTTTTTGTGTTTTGGTCTGTTTTTCATACACTTTAAGCAATAGGTCAACTATATTTGGTGTATGGAATGATTGTAAGGTGTACATGTCTAGCTGGTAGGTGTCATTTGACCTTGACCTCATTTTCATGGTTCAGTGGTCAAAGTTAAGATTTTGAGTTTTGGTCTTTTTTTCTAATACTATATGCAATAGGTCAACTATATTTGGTGTATGGAAATATTTTATGATCTTTATGTCAGTCGCGCAGTTTTTATTTGACCTTGACCTCATTTTCACAGTTCATTGCTCAGTGTTAAGTTTTTGTGTGTTGGTCTGTTTTTCTTAAACTATAAGCAATAGGTCAACTATATTTGTTGTATGGAAGAATTGTTAGCTGTACATGCCTGCCTGGCATGGTTCATCTGACCTTGACCTCATTTCCATGGTTCATTGGTCAATGTTTATTTTTCTTGGTTAATAGTAAGTTTATGTGACAGTTGTAAGAAAGCTTTATATTTAGGACTATCAACATAATATCAATGATTAGTAAAGAAGGCGAGACATTTCAGCACTCTTGTTCCTTATGATATGACCTTATTTCCGGACTACATTACGATACATGTAAGAATTTCGAATGAAGGATGTTAACGGCTGTGTAAAAGTATTTTTCAACCCTGTATACCACCATTCCCCATGTGAAATTATAATTTTGAAAATACTTTGAACGACAAAATTATTTTATATTTCTTCCTGTGTGACGTTTACATTTTCTGGCGTCAAACTCGCGACTCTACACTAAGAGTAGATGTGAATGCAGTCACAGGACTTCAAATATTTCAATCCTTTATGGGTTGATTTAAAATACATATATAAGTAAGCAATGAATGTGGTTGTTAAATTTGATAGATGCTTTTTGTGCTTCTTTGTTAAATGTTTGTTTGTTTTGAGATTGTGACACAGTGATGACTGCTGTACCCATATTTTGACAATGTTACCTATTATGTCTGTTTTGTTTACGCATCGTTGTAAATATAATGGAATTTGATGTGACTGTCATACAAGTGAGAGGTTTAGCGCTATAAAACCAGGTTCAATCCACCATTTTCTAAAATGCCTGTACCAAGTC